CCTCTTTTGGAAGGCCAAACAAAGTAGTTTCGCTTTCACAACGAAACACACAGCGTCTTCACAACATGGCAGCGGCAGCAACAGCAAGAATTAAAGTTCAGCCTTCTTTCTTTGCGTGAACATTTGGGCGGCAAATCTTCACACATCTTGACCTAGACATGTGGGGGCGTGTTAGAACAAGCGGTTTTAGGTAGGCGTGGTTGACAAATTTTATAAAGAATATCTCTTTTGATTTGAGACTTTAGTCTTTGCAACTTTACAGATCTTCTTTATGCACCAAGAGCTTGTAACACTCCAAAGATAAAGGAAAAATTGAAATCGCATCATATGACCCCTTTAACCTCCGTGACGGTGACAAGTGCGAAGTGACGTTACCGAACCGGGGGCCGGGTGATCTTCCAACGCGGCTCTTTCTGTGTAGTAGTCACACGGGCCGGGAAACAACAACCCAGGCCGGGATTTTGGAGCGAGGCGGTGTCCCCACCCCTCCGTCCGTGTGCGTGTGTTCTGGCCGGTGTTCTCGTGATTCGGTAACCGGGAAAGATGGCGGACCCGGCGGAGTGCACCATTAAAGTAATGTGCCGTTTCAGGCCATTGAATAGCTCGGAGGTGACGAGGGGGGACAAATACATCCCCAAATTTCAGGGAGAGGACAGCGTCGTTATCGGGGTGAGTGATATTTTGGGACCGAGTTATTTTGTATCCTTTATTTTTTGGTTGTTCTCGCGCGAGCGGCTAATGCTAATGACCGCAGTCCATCAGAACCAGAATTTGTCACGAGCTGTTAATCTGAATACTTGACACCGACACCAGCATCTGCATCCGATCCGGTGATACTCGTAACCGACCGTTTAATTCAGACATAAATGTTAATTTAGTTCATTTCAACGTCGTTTCCTCATGAGCTTCATGCTAACCGTGTTAGCCAGCCCTGCACATTCAACGCGGAAACACAGTTAGTTTACACTTTTAGGACAGCGAAAACTTATTTTATTTATTTATTCAGTTTATGATATGTAGTGGTTGCACCTTGTAGGTTTAGATTATTATTTTATACATATAATTGTGTAAGCTTGGGTGTGGATATATGTTGAATGAGCAGGAAACTGTCCATATTTGTGGGCGTTTGTAAATACTGAGAGAAAATCTATATCAGAAATTTTTCTGATATATCAAAATCGATTTCGATATCAAAATCCACCAAATATGTCCCCACCGCTAAGATCTCTTTTACTAATATTTAGCTATATTAAGTAATAATAAAGCTACATATTGTCATTCATAAATACCAATTTATGGTGTAACTTATGTGTGAAAATCTGTAGTTTTGTAACAGGAAAGACAATATGTTATTTGGTAAATTAACTAAATTTTATGTTGTTACTGTACTAAAACCGAAGCAAATAATTAAAATACAAATACAATTTTTTTTTCTATAAACCTTTACAGAAACATTTTTAATTACAATTTTCTAAATATCATTTTATTTTGTACACACCCCTTTTGCGACCCACGAAAGTTTATTGGACCCTAGTTTGAAAACTCTTGCTCTTTATAACATCAGCAGTCACATTTGCGTAAATGTGTGTGAATGACAGGTGAAATTGGACATGAGGTTGCTTATTGGATAAAATGAAAACAAAAGCTTGGTTTAACCTCTTTTTCTAGCACATATACCTATTAATATATATATAACTAGGCATCTATTGAACCAAAGACCTGAATGTAACATCCTATTTAAAAGGACCTAGAAGAGATGCTGATGTTCCTGGTATGATCCGTATGTGCAGAAACATGATTCTTAGTGTTGCATTGGCATCTACGTGTATTTGTGTGTGGGAAATTGATCAATCATTGTCACTGTGCGTTGATTATCTTTAAACCCAGTTCAAACATGACAGTCTATATGCCATAAGCTCTGAAGTTTTTTTTTCATGGCTGACTAAATTATGGCATGATGAATGACATTTGAAAGCAAACATGCCATGTGGCAAGCTGAATCATACAGGTGACTACCATCCCTTTTCATGTAAAAAAAATAATGATTTCATTGAGCAGTTTTTCTTGTACATCCTCTTCAATTTCACAAATCTTTTATGATGTTGTTAAGGGTCAGGTATTCCTGTCTGGTTACAGTGTGTGGGTACGTTCCTGAAAGACTGGCTTTGAAACGGATATGTTTGTTTTTGTTCAGTGCTCGCTCTCTTAATAGTCCTCTTGTGTGTATGAAGATAACGTGAGAGAATGCCCAGGAACTGGAGAGAGACTCCTTCAGGCTTATCCACAGTAATTTGAAAAGAGTGTGTGTGAGCACTAGAAGGAAGGTGAGATAATGCTTTGGAAATAGAGAGCGCTCCACCCTGTGCAGCCCCTGGGTCTCTGTGTGTCTAAGCGAGGCGAGAAAATAGTTAGGTAAGAAAGTGTCTCGATTAGAACACTGGGAAAATGTTCTCTTCACACAAGAGTCTGGCCTTGCTTCTGTATCAGTATTGTGTCCAGCCCAAGCATAAGAGTAAAAGCATATTCTGGTGTGCATTGTAGATTGAAACTGATAATCTGTTTCACAAATATTGACACTTTTCTACATCTTTATCAGTTCATAAAACAAATATGAAAATAATTTTGCAGCAATATTTTAATTAGATAATGCTGCTTTTATTAAATACATTAAGTCATATAAATTATTTGTGTGTTAATAATAATATATGTAATTATTGTTGCATTATTATTAGTTCATTATAGTGTCAAAAATGACACTATAATACAAAGTGGGTCCTGAACACAAAAATAATTGGTACAGGGTGATCTCTTGTGCATTATGAACAGGTTACTGTTAAACTGAATGTGTACAGAAACATGTATTATTTGAACATGTTTAGTGGCAGTCACTAGTCTTCCCCTACTGGCTCCTTTGTCAATATTCAAAATCTGCACATTTTAGAGACTTGCAGCTACAGCAAAAACATGTTACAGACTGTAAACCAGTGGCATGCTTGTGAAAAGTCATTCCCTCTAGACTTTGGTCATATTAAGACAGTCATTTTACCCTGATCTATCAAACGAGTCCATTATTTTGGCCATGCTTTAGCATATTATTGATTGATAATAATAATACCACTGAATTGTAGGCTTATTCCACAGAGTTTTGCATCTTGTTTAGGCTAGGTCAGGGGTGGCCAACGTCGGTCCTAGAGAGCCACAGTCCTGCAGAGTTTTGCTCCAACCTTGACAAAACCTACACCTGCCTGTCGCTTTCTAGTAACCCTTAGACCTTGATTAGCTTGTTCAGGTGTGTTTGATTAGAGTTGGAGCTGAAATCTGCAGGACTGTGGCTCTCCAGGACCGGAGTTCGCCACCCCTGGGCTAGGCTTAAATTAGTTGATAAAGTATTCATCATTTTTTTTTCTTTGAATATGATTAAGAGAATCTATCATTAACTGATGATTAAACAATTGTGCTTCTTGTCACAGTAAAGATATGGGACCCAGTCAGCATGCAATAATAGTGCAACGTTTGCACACTTATGATTTGACATTGCTCTGATAAAACAAGGTAGCACCAGTCAAAGATTAAACTTTATAGATCAGGTGAGAGAATTAATGTAGATTGTTGTGTCATAATGGCAGTTTGTCCAGTGTGATGGCTGGATGAGTGCGGTGCTTATTTGTTCCATTACTGGTCCTGACTGTTATTTGTGTCCCTGATTAGGGGTCTTAAGTCATTTTATGTGTATGTACCTTTTATGATGCATATTTGTTTATATGTGTATAAATTAATCAGATGTTTCTGAAACTGTGTTATGTTATAAAGGCCTTAATTGTCTTCCCTTCAGCAAAAACTCCATGAAAAAGTTTGCGGCCAAGGAGTTGGCAACCTTTCTTGGTCACTTTGCACTTTACCAGAAGTTGAATCTGCAGTATTTTGTTGGCAGCACAGATCCTTAACCATTAAGCTACTATCACCCCAATTGGAAAACTAAATAAAATATCATAAAATTATCTTGCTTAATTTAATTGTCTTTTTTATTACACCTTAAGAAGTCATTTATTCACATTAAATTAAAAGTTATACTTGCAATAAAATGTGCAATAAAATTGTGTTTATGTAAACAGACTTAAAAGGTTGGTTCACTGGTTTTGTTCTAGGCTTGATTGTGTTTATGGGGTGCAGTCTAACGTGTTAATGCTTCGTTTTTCAAAAAACGCATTATTTTTCACATAATTTACCTTTATTCCACACCGCTCTGTCCTTTCTCTGAGAAACGGGCTGATCTTTTCCTGTTTTTATGAAGCCCCGCCCTCAGAAATAGGTGATGGGCTCTGATTGGTTAGCTAGCCCAGTGTGTTGTGATTGGCTAAAC